GGGGGGTCGCAAGGGGGTGTCAGAAGGGCCACCAAAGACCATCAGAAAACTCAATATTTTCTCTTGGTCACGTGGGTTGTGTGTGGGAAGTTTGGCCCAATTCTGTCATTGGTGGGATTCAAGGGGCTCTTTGGTCGTAAGTGAACTGTAAATCCCAGCAACGACAACTCCCAAATATCAAGATCTATTTTCCCCAAACTCTACCAGTGTTCACATTTTGGCATATTGAGTATTCATGCCAAGTTTGGTCCAGATCCATGATTGTTTGACTCCACAGTGCAGATGACGAGTGCATCCCAGGCCCCTGCTTTCAAGTTAATCTGACCTGCTGCAGGGAGTTCCGCAGTTCCGGGACGCCAGGGTGGGCTAAGACTGATGAAATGTGCCCCAGCAGCAGCCTCAACCAGGGACTCTTCGCAGCCATATGCTCTCTCCTTCCTCTCCTTTTACCAGCCCAAACTTTGTAACCAATCCCCCAATAAACGCAAATCAAATTGTAACTTTAACCTCTCCAGTCTGATACTTTGTGTCCTTTTCCTGACTGAATCATAGAATCCTAGAATCAAAGAACCTCCTGGGCCATCATCCAGTCCAACCCCATTCTGCCAAGAAGCAGGAATATTGCATTCAAAGCACCCCTGACAGATGGCCATCCAGCCCCTCACTACCTCTGAGGATGCTTGCCATAGATGCAGGCGAAACGTCAGGAGAAAAATTGCCTCCAGAACATGGCCCTATAGCCCGGAAAAACCTACAACAACCCATCCAGCCCCTGTTTCAAAGCTTCCAAAGAAGGAGCCTCCACCACACTCCCTCCGGGGCAGAGAGTTCCACTGCTGAACGGCTCTCACAGTCAGGAAGTTCTTCCTCAGGTTCAGATGGAACCTCCTCTCTTGTAGTTTGAAGCCATTCTTCCGCATATGAAACTGTCTCTATGCATGAAAGCAACCTTTTCTGGGCCACTGAGAAGGCCCTGCTCCTCGTACCCACCAGCCTCACTTGGGATAGCGGTGGGGTCGAGAGCAAAGCCCCCGCAGATGATCTCAAATTCCGGGGTGGGA